GGAAGTCAGTATAAATAGAAAAAAGTATTCAAAGATTATGAAAAAGAGGAGAACTAGCAAAGGCAACTAAGAAGAAACTCCTGAAGTTTTCTTTTCTCTGAGGTTTTCTCCTCAAATTTCTACCACTGTTGGAGCTTCCAGATTCTGACTTGTCTCATCAACCAATAAGATTACTGCTTTCTGCTAGTGAGGCTGGTCACTTTAAGGTTTAGCAGAACGGCAGCCATTTTGAAATTAAGGCTTCTAAGGTGAAAAATCTGACCAAGTGTTGGGATATAGGGAGATCTGTTTGAGACATGGCCAGATGAGAAACCAGGAATGGGTAATTACTCAGGGAAAGCAGCTGACTGTGATTGATGGCAGTGGGGAATGATTTGCATCTGCTTGTATCTCATGCCTGTAAATACAGAGAACATGTCCCACTTTTAGGAACACTTTGGTGGTACCTGCTGATGGGCTCTCTGTAACTGGTTACACAAAAAAACTCGCCTGCAGCCTCTGCCTCTCATTTCATTGACCACAAGAAGAAAGAGAGCGTCACACTAGGATGGTAATACTTGGGGTCATTTTCCCTTACTAAGCTAACTGCAAAGTGCCCACAGAAGAAAAAACAGGTAAATTTGGAACTTAGCTCATTTGTTTTCATTCAGTGTTCATTTCTGTTCGAATCCTGTCAGCTTTCCTTTACCCCTGTGCTTTCAGACAGTTTTTGCTTTTTGTTTTCTAGGGGCTTTGTTTATTTGTCTTTTTTCTTTTCTTTTCTTTTCTCTTTTTTTTTTCTTTTGGTAATGTTTCAGTTTGCTTTATAATTAGTAGAAGAGTTACTCCAAAACAAATGATTCTCTACTGACAATATCTCTTGGAGGTCCGATGTCCTTACAATGTCTACTTTGTATTATCCCTTTTACCTGTAATCATCTAACCACTTGGTATTTAGTTACCGTTGTTTTTCTGTCTCCTCCGAGTAGAGGACTTATTTTTCCCTCCATTTCTCTAAAGATGAAAGAAAAACAGTTCTATTATTTATGTAAGTTTGGGTTAAACACATTGGAAATCTTTTTTTCTTTTTTTAATTTTTTTTGGAGAGGTTTTCGCTTTAGGGCGCGTGCGCTCGCCAGACAGAGAGAGACATAGAGACAGAAAGCGAGAAATCACCCCCCAGGGGGGATGGTCACACGGCAATCCCTTCTCCTCCGTTCTCCTCTCGGGATCTTGGGCATGCACGCACATGCGCCCGGCGTGAGTTTTAAGCCACCGGGTCCAGAACGCGAACCGTGGTCAACTACGTGGGAGTCCAGTGACATAGCCATTACGCTAACTGCTGGTCCCTAGAAATCATTTTAGAAAGCCTATTTACAACTCTTTCACATAGCCAGCACATGTTTAGCTCCAAAATAAAATTCCCGCATCTCTTACCTTTAGAAAGATTTCAAGTTTCTCTGGAGTTATATTGGCATAGTTCTTCGTTAAAGCAGCTTTGGTCTCCTAAATGGAATGTTTCAGTTCTTCAAGAATGTCTGTGTCCAAGATTTGAAATATCTTTGTCCCTGTCGAGTAGTAGCCCACCAGGCAAGCATAGGTACTGGAACCTTGAGAAGCAGCCACATCTTTAAAAAACTAAAGAGCAGCAGGATGGGAGACAACAGGAGGTAAAATTGCTTTGAATGTCTCCTCCTCAGACACAGAAAGAACAAAACAATAAAAAAGTCTTATTTACATCAAGAAAAATACTCTTGCAATTAATCATCTATACCAAAGAAAGCAATCCTGAAACATTCATGGCAAAATGAAATTTAAACCCCACTTACATCCTGACATGAAATATCCTGGGACGTGAAAATGCAGGGGAAAAATAAGTTTCTAAAGAATGTTGGTCAACTTCAGAGGGACAATTTGCTTCAAGATGTTTATTCATTTAAATTGGCCTTTTAGAGGCAGATGAGTATAATACAGCTTGTTTTGGGGAAAAATGTTCACTGTAGGTTAAAAAATATGTGATATTTAATTTACCTAATCCAGATATATGGATGGATCATCTACTCTGAGATCCCTTTTTCCAGTCCTCATTATCCACTTCTTTCTGTGCTACTAAGTATGAGGAAATAAACCAATTTTTAAAAATTTATTTACTAGGTCCGTTGGTGGCATGATGGTTAAGACACTGGATCCCACATGGCCAACTTTGCTGTTCTAATTCCAGAACCCATACATGAAGAATATGCCAGGTACGTGTGTGCCCAAAATCCCAAAAGGAGGGAGAGATGGAGGAGAGGGTTAACAGTGTAACCGTCTCACGGGGAAAATGGGGGTAAGGAGGTGCTCTCTCTCTCTCTCTCTCTGTATATGCTTGTCTCTCTCTGGAGCATACATGCTCTCTGGAAACATTTTTTTTAAACTAATTAGGTTTTTTATGAGCACGTGCTGTGTGCACTCATGTGATCAAGGGAGAGACAGGCAAGCACCCTTCACGGGGCCTCAGCATATCATGATCCTCTCCTCCAAGCCCTCCGGTTGGTCAGGTCCTGAGAGCATATTGGTATCCTATTGCCTGTGCCAAGGTTTTAAACCAAGACTGGGCCAAAAACTTCTTAATAAATAGAAAAGTAATCATCAACTTGACAGGAACTGACTATAATCTTAAGACGAGGCAGTCAAATGATTGTTTTGGTTCTCAGAGTCTTTGGCAATATCCTTGATCTTATTTTTTTTTACATATTTTATTTAACTTTATTTATTTGTTTTAATTTGAGCAGAGAGGGGTAGAGAGAGAGAGAGTGAGAAAACAAGCTGCCAGGTCTGGGACTGGGATTGTAATTGGCCATTTGGAAGTTCAGCTCCCTTAACCACCATGCCACCTGCTGGCTCCCCCTTGGTCTTTTCTTAAACATAGTTATCCTATCAGATCAAACACATTTCCCTATCAGTCTCTACCATCAAAACTGATTGATGTTTCTATAGTACAAACCCTCAACACTGTAGAAAACATTACTGTGATTTATAACTAAAAGTACCATCGTATTTGAGAAATGTTATAGACAGAAATAAACTCTTCCTCAAATACATATGTTAAAGTCAATACGCACACTGGAAAAAACACTTAAAAATACTAAAATGTACTGATATTGACATAGATTATATCTATAGATTTCAAAAAGTGTTGTATCTCTTTATTTATAGATGTTATAACTTGTTAAAACAGTAAAAGTGGTCACTTTCTTCAGATTTGTGGTATGAGTACATTATCCTACCTCTACAAGAACATTGTTCATATCTTCCTTCTCCATGGTGCACTTGTTTGCATGGAATGGTGAAGCAGAACCCCTCTAAGTGATCTCAGCCAAATACCACAGTTCTTTTTGGAACCTTGGCAGTGTTTAGTTCTATAGATGCTCCCCTTCCCTTTGTTTGGATGTATTGGTTTCTTATTGCTGCTGCAACTAATTGTCACAAACTCAGCATCTTAAAAGGCACCTTGGTGTCTTAGAAGCCACAAAATTAGGGACCAGCAGATGGTGTAATGGTTATGTCACTGGACTCCTATGTGGTTGACTGCGATTCTAGTCCTGGACACAGCAATTTAAAACTCACGCCGGATGTGTATGCCTGCAAGCTTAAAATCCCAAGAGGAGAATGGAGGAAAAGGGATTGCACTGTGGCCATACCCCCTGGAGGATGATTTCTCACTTTTTGTCTCTTTCTTTCTCTTAGGTGAGCACACACACCCTATAGCAAAGACCTCTCTTAAAAAAAAAAAAAAAACAAAACACAAATTATGTTTTCAATTCTAGAAGTCATTAATTTCAAATGGATTTTACTGGTCTGAAGCGAAGGTGTGAGCAGGGCTGCTTTCCTTCCGGAGACTGTAAGGGAAAATGTTTCCTTGCCTTTTGCAGAGGTCATCTGCATTCCTTGGCTCATGCCTCTTCCTCCTCTGTCAAAGCTGGCAGAGTAGTGTCTTTAGATTGTCAAAGCTGACTTTTCTGCTTCCTTCTTTCACTCTTAAGAGCGTTGCAGTCACTCTGATAATACTAAATGATCTCCTTATCAGGTGGGCTGACCGGCCACCTTCTTTCCTTGCCAAATAACACAACCTATTCAAGGTTCCAGGGATTAGGAATGTACATCTTTGGTGGGCTCTTTTGCCTAGCATGAACAACATCCCTCCAGTAGCCAATACCCCAAAACTTCACCCCTACAACTTTAAAATCTCTGATTATGTGATCTCGAGCAAGTCACTTAATTTTTCCTGCCTTCAGTTTTCACCTGTAGTGGTGATAGTTTGAATCGCAGCTCTGCCATCCTGTGATGCTGGGTGAGTCTGTAACCTTTATGAGCTTCCGTTTCTTTTGCTGGGAAGAAAAGGACAGTAGTACCTAACTCCTAGGTTGTGAAGATTAATCACAATAATGTAGATTAAGGGGACCAGCAGTTAGCGTAATGGCTATGTCGCTGGACTCCCACGTAGTCGACCGCAGTTCGTGTCCCAGACCTGGTGGCTTAAAACTCACACCAAGAGTGCGTGTGTGTGTGTGCCCAAGATCCCGAGAGGAGCATGGAGGAGGAGGGATTGCAGTGTGGCCATCCCCCCCTGGGGGGTGATTTCTCACTTTCTGTCTCTATCTCTCTGTCTGTCTGGCGAGTGCACACGCCCTATAGTGAAAACCTCTCCAAAAAAAAATGCAGATTAAAAATCTTGCCTCAAATTAAAGGCTCAATAAAACATAACTCTTTTTAGTACCATGTAAACTACTAGCATAGGGACCAATACATAGAGATGATCACTTAATTCTAACTATAACTATTAATAAGTAGCTACTATAATGTTTTTAATCTGCCATAGGGTACATATATTCACTAGGGGGAGACAGAGAGAGAGAGAGAGAAAGCAAGAAAGCACCCACCATGGAGAATGGTCACACTGTAATCTATTCTCTTCCATTTCTCCCTCCTTTCAGGATTTTGGGCACATAACATGCACCTGGCATATTTTTCAAGCCACTGGCTCTAGTGGTGGACCATGTGGAATCCAATTTAGGTAAGTAACTACAGGCCACAGACTAGCCTGATACCTATTATTAATCATACTAATTATTATGCTTGATATGAGTTCTATATCATATTCATCTTGATATTTTCATAATAATCTTATAGTAATATATACAGTGACTATCACAATTTATATTATTTAGGTATGTACTCTATGGCTGCTATATGTTTAAGTAACGACTTATCTGGTTACAAGTGATATAAACTCAACTCAAATTTTCTTAAGCAAAAATAGGAAACCAGGCACTATGGTGTATGTAGTCTCAGCTACTTAGGAGTCTGAGGCAGAGAGAGCACAGTTCAAAAGCCAGTCTGGGGGAACCAGCAGTTAGCGTAATGGCTATGTCGCTGGACTCCCACGTAGTCGACCATGGTTCGTGTCCCGGACCCGGTGGCTTAAAACTCACGCCGGGAGCGTGTGCGTGCATGCCCAAGATCCCGAGAGGAGAATGGAGGAGAAGGGATTGTGGCGTGACCATCCCCCCTGGGGGGTGATTTCTCGCTTTCTGTCTCTGTGTCTCTCTCTGTCTGTCTGGCGAGCGCATGCACCCTACAGTGAAAATCTCTCAAAAAAAAAAAAAAAAAAAAGCCAGTCTGGGTAACTAACAAGACCCTGCCTCTCATCAGCTAACAGACACAAATCTAGACAGATGCTGTTGGTACTTATCCAAAAATTGATATTCCTGTCTGAGAGTTTTTATTTGGCCTTTGGAGCAGGCCCAGCCACCAAGCAGGACCAGTCAGTGTCAGAGAGTTAATGCCTCTGAAAGCAGCCATGACCTAATGATACACAAGGAGCTGATGAATAACTTGCTCCACTTTCTCACATTCAGAAAGGATAACTCTGGGCTGGCCCCATAGCCCAGTAGCTAAGCACTGTGCAGAGGATGTTAGATCTCCCATGGTTGACTTGGGATCAAATCTCAGCCTTGATAGCAACCTACTGGGCATGTTCACATGTGCCCAGGGTCCTGATGGGTTAGAGAATTGGAGGAAGAAGGATTGAGGAGTATTCAGGCCCCCTTGAGGAGTGCTTTCTCTCTCAGTCTCTACCTCTCTTTCTCTCTCTCTCTTTCTCTCTCTTTCTCTCTCTCTCTCTCTATCTCACATGTGCATGCACTTACTTTGTCATGAATAAAAGGGAGAAAATAAACAATTGAAAAAGCAAGGGAGGGAGGAAGGAAGGTCGGACAGACAGTGGTTCGAGTCCCAGACCCGGTGGCTTAAACTCACACCAGGCGCATGTAGGGCGCGTGTGCGTGTGTGCCCAAAATCCCCAGAGGAGAATGGTAGAGAAGAAATTCGGCCCCCAGGGGGTGATTTGTCACTTTCTGTCTCTCTGTCTTTCTCTGTCTTTCTGGTGAGCACACGCACCCTATAGCAAAAAAAAAAAAAAAAAAAAAAAAAAACCTCAAAAAAAAAAAGTGCTGATTTTATCTTTATATTTGTAGTTTGTTTTTATTTGTTTCTTCTGTAAGAGCAAGAGAGAAAGAGAAAGCCACCCCTAACAGGTCTTCATGCTGGATCCACTCCCAGCCCCAAGGAGCCAGGGTCATGGACAGAGTGCAAATGCCCAGCATGTACAAGAGACATCAGGACATGAACTCAGTACCTTTTTCTCCTGTCTTTGCATCACTGAGCATTGAGCTACATTTGTGTTTTAATGTATCAGTAAGTGTGTCTTGGTATTGACTCAAAGTAATTGCGTCCAATGATATGGCAAAATTTTCATTTCTCTAACTCCTGATGCCATTCCCCAAGGTAAGAGACACTTCTAACACCTTAATGTAGGCTTCCAACAGGCTGTCATTTGTCTAACGCAGGATGGAATCATACTGCCCTATTTTTGCAATCAGATCTGCCAGACAGTCTTATCTAAGAAGGGATAGATAGATGTGCTGGATGAGATTAAATGTAAATGAAAAATGTTGAGTGTATCTTACCATATGAAATGAGATATAGCCACTTCTGTTTTGTAAAGTAGGCTAGGGATTAGGATCACATCTGCATAATAACTGATGCAGAATTTCTGAATTCTGCAGAGCTGTGTACCTGGCTGCTGGCTTTGATTCACTTTCTCAAGTGGACCTAATGGCTAGAAATGATGCCATATGTGGGAGTTTTGTTTATACACAGTGGATTCCTTGACACAAGACCTCACTGATCATCTTCTTACTAAGTATGCATTGATGCCCCCTGTTACACCCCATCCGTGGCCAAGCAAACAAAGTCTAGTTTAAATCATCTTTATGACTGTTTTTCTCTCCTCCATGAAAGGGGATGCAAAGCATTCAAGGAAGTTCGCATCCATACTTTGGTATATTTGCTGTGCCTATAAAGGTTATAGAACTCCAAAAATAGAAATTGGTGAGCTAATGATAATTTAGGTTGTTTACTTTTAGGGGTACACTTGAGATTCAAGGGAGAAGCTTAATCATGAGTCAATGGATTTTAAGATTTTTATTGTGTGATAAAGTAGCCAAACTCTTTTTTAAAAAATTTTAAAATAAAAGACCTCTCAGTTGAATCTAAAAATCCAGCCAAAGTTGTTATGCAAAATAGTAAAGCTGGCCTAATGCTGACCAGCTGCCGCATGTACAGTTGGAACAACGTCAGTTTGTTCAAGATGACAGAGAACGTTGATTTTTAAATTTAAGAATTAGGAGAGAAAGTTCTGGCTCTATTAGTTATGTGTATGCTATCACTTTTAACAACTTACATCCAACATGTGTACATTAATGTGTTTGTTTTAAAACATAAGTTTTTGAACTTTCTAAACGAACTCTAAACTTAGTACTCTGGATTTGTAGATTTTTAATGTAAACCATTTGGGCTTTTTAAATAGCATTTGAAGTTCTCCAGCCTTAAAAAGACTTTTCTGTTTGGAAAAGATACCTTCCAAGCAATCAATTAAAATACTTGAAGTTATAAAAGTTTCCATTTATAAAGGAGAAAAACACTTCTTCAAACTTTTTGAAAAGTATATATATGTGTATATAAATGTTTTCCATGAAACACTAAAAAGTTTCTCAGTTTCAAGATAAATAGCTAATCAGTTCACGTAAGACGCTATTAATGCTAAGTCATTAGAAAAGTCATGACATATTTTTGCATAGAAAAGTATGTCATGACTTTTCTGATGCCCCGATATTATAAACTATTTAGGGCCAACCCCATGACCTGGTAGTGGGGGGAGTAAGATTGCACATGGCTGACCATGGTTCAAATCATAGCCACAGAGCCTTAAAAAACACTTCTGTATACATATGCATGTGTGCTCCAAATCCTGACAGGGTGGAAGAAGTGGAGGAGAAGGGATTATGGCCTAACCATGCCCCATTGAAGGTGCTTTCTCCCTCCCCTTCTCTCTGTCTCCTTCTCTGATAAGTACATAGGCCTTCTGGCAAAAACTTTTTAATTAATGAACTTATTAAACTGACTGATAATTTTGTTTTTAACATAAATTTCTGTGGAAAAATTTAATTCTTATACATTTAAGAGCGATTACATACCGAAATATTGGCTCATCAGGAAAGTCATGGTATAAATTTCCATGTAAAGTGTGTCATGAATTTCCTGATGACCTAATACATTAAGATATCATTTTACATATGTAAGTTGGAGTGTAGATTCAGCTGTATATAACAGAGGTCCAAAATTACAGTGTTTGGAATAAGTTGGAAGTTTATTTCTTTCTGTGCACTGGTCTGGCAGTAAATGGTGCAGTGCTAGTTTAGGAGACCTGTTTTATGAGATTCCTCAGGAACTCAGACTTCTATCTTATTGTTGTACTACTTCTAGGAGGCCCCACTGAATCTCATGTCCATGTTGCTCATCCCCTCATTCATAGTCGAAGCAAGGTAGAAGAAAGGGTGAGTGGAGAAGGGCACACCCCCTTCACTTTAAGGGAACAAGCTTAAAGTTGTGTACAAGACTGCTACTTATACCCCTTAGGCCATAACTTAGCTTCATGGTCACATCTAGGGCACACAAGCCTGGGAGTTTGTGAAAATTCAGTATCTCATTATAGAGGAAGACGAGACAGGTATTGTAGACAGCTAGCAAGCAGTCTGTTCCACTGGCTGCCCCTTTAAGCCACCCAGATATCTAAGTACACCTGACTTGCAAACAAAAGCTCTCTTTTTCTGAAGGAGAAACTCCCAAAGTCCTATCCAGTTACATCATCAAGTTCAAACTCCAGCATCTCTTGGTGATGGGTAATTCTCTCCATTGTGTGGGTTCTTAAAGTTATATCATTATTTAGAGAGAAAGAGAGAGAGCACGTAAGATCTTCTCATATAGATATATTTATACATAGCACCTAAGAATCTTCTTTTCCCAACGACAATGATAGATTTGGAACTGGAAGATGCCAAGAGAAAACACACCACATTCTTTCCATGTAATCAAGTCTTTCGGGGCAGGGACTGTGAAGCCCCACATCCTGGTGATGGAACAAGTCCCTGGTTCAACTTACAGAGAAGAATTTTTTGGTATCCATGACTTCTAGATCTGGGAGGTAATTCCTTGTCCATCAGTCACTGTAGCCACCTCTTTTTTTTTTTTTGAGAGGTTTTGCCTTGGGGTGTATGCACTCACCTGAGAGAGAGAGAGAGAGTGAGTCAGAGACAGACTGTGGGGGGCTAACTCTGGGGGATGGCCATGCTGCAATCCCTTCTCCTCCATTCTCCTGGGATCTTGGGCACGCACAGGTACACATGCCCAGAGTGATTGTTAAGCCACCAGGTTTGGGACTCGAACTGTAGTCAGCCATGTGGGAGTCCAGCGACATAACCACTACACCATCTGCTGGTCCCCCATTCACTGTGGCCACATCTAAAGGGCACAGAAGAGTGGACATTTCCTGAAGACTACCCAGCTTGTGCAGCCTGCTTCCTGTTGGAGCATATCTACAAATTCAGAGACTGCTTCAAGAAATAAATCTAATACATATAAAAGCATAAGTTCATACTGATACTTCCAATTCTAACCAAGTTCCACAGGATTCTTCCTCTCCTTGTGCCATTTGTATGTTTACCACCCATTTGTACTTCAGTAAGAATCTGTTTTCCAACAATATCAATATATCTATGCCTGTCTATCAATCTGTTTTCATTTGCTCAAGTCTAAGATGCAAAAAAAAAAAAAAAAAATCAGAATTACCACTTCAGTACCTCTGCTAACAACAAACCTACTCAGTAACGCTTAATATTTCTTTGTAGTTCTTTTATCCTTGAAATATATTCCCTTGAAGGTACACATCAAAGTAATATATTCAAAGTCACTTAGATTAATTTTTTTGTCCTGTGTGGTTATCATTTTGATATACAGTGAGATTCATTTGTTTCTGTTCGTATTCATATTTCAGAGTTTCCTTCATATTTTCTGATTATAGATTATTTCAGCCAGTAGGAAAACAAAATACAAAACTTAGTAGGAAAACAGGCAAAAGATGCAAACAGAAATTAACCAAAAATGAACCAAAATGGCCAGTGCATATATGAATTAATAGGACCTGCCTTAAACTGGCCATGGTGGTACAAAAGGGAAAGCTTCATGGGGGCTGGTAGGTGGCATGGTGATTAAGGGCACTGGACTCCCACATGGCCAACCATGGTTTGAGTCCCAGACCTGGCAGCTTGCTTTCTCACTTTTTTTCTCTCTCTTTCTCACTCTGTCCTTCTCTGGTCCAATGAAAATAAACAAATAAAATGGATAAATAAAGTTAAATAAAATATTTTTTTAAAAAAAGGGGGGGAGGGACCAACAGTTAGCATAATGGCTATGTCACTGGACTGCCATGTAGTCAACCCTGGTTCGAGTCTGGACCCGGTGGCTTAAGCTCATGCCAGGTGCATGTGCATGCATGCCCAAGATCCTGAGAGGAGAATGGAGGAGAGGAAATTGCACCATGGCCCATCCCCCCTGGGGGTGATTTCTCGCTTTGTCTTTCTCTTTGAGAGCACATGCCCTATAGCAAAAACCCCTTAAAAAAAAAAAAAAAAAGGCGGGGTGGGGAGGGGAGAGAGGAGGACTTCTTTACTGCGCAGTGGCTGAGGTTTGTTTCCCAGCCCAAAATAAACAGGCCAGGCATGATAGTGCGTGCCTGAGCTCACAGCTACATGGGACAAGAGAATTGCGATGACAAGACCCTGTTAAAAATGTGTGTGTGTGTGTCTCTTCCTTCCATACTCAGAAAAAAAAAATAGTACCTACCTCATTGAACTATTTTGAGAGGAAAATAAGTTGCTTAAATGCCACAGTGGTTAGCCAGAGTAAATCCTAAATAAACACTAGTGATGACAATCTTGATCATTCTCCCAAGTAATCTATTAGGTCATCAGAAAAATCATGATGTGTTTTTCTATGTAAAAATACATCATGACTTTCCAGACAACCCAAGCAAAATAAAACAGTGATTACCATTTATCACATTTCAGATTATACATGGTTTTTGTTTGTCTGTTTTTTTTTTTAATTCCGTTTATTTATTTATTTTGAGAAAGAGAGAGAAATAGAAAGAGAAAGAGAAAGGGGTCTTGCCACAGTCCACTCCCAGCCTCAGCCACTCAGGGTGGTGTGCCTGTATGTGTGTTCCTGGCTGTGCAGGGAGACCTTGCAGTGGGAACCTGAGACCTCACCTGGCCTCAGCGCTGCAGTGTGTTGCTTTACCACTGTACCACCACAGCTAGCCAAAATTATTTTTTATGCAATGGTAAATGTAGTGTTGATGGTATTAAGAAAATAACTATTCTCACATACTTGTGGAAATATAGTTATTACATCTTTGCTGGGCAACTTAACAATATGTATTAAGAACTTTAAATTCTTAGTAATGACATTTTAAGACAAATGTAACAGTATAATCAAATAAACACAGCAAGATGTATTGGGTGGTTGGAAAAGGCATGACTAACAGTATAATCAAATAAACACAGCAAGATGAATTGGGTGGTCTGAAAAGGCATGACATATTTTTCAATGTAAAAATGCACCATGACTTTTTAGATGACCCAATCTGTATAAGGATGCATGCATGTTAAGAAACAAACCAAAAAAAAATTAAAAAATAAACTAAATGTCTACCTAAAAAGGTTT